GGGCATCCTCCATAGTCGCGCGTGACCCCCCCCCCCCCCCCCCCCCACCCCGGACGTGTCCCTCTGTGCTCACTGCCCTTCGGGGCAGGTGGAAGCCGCACACCGAAGCAGACAGCGGAGCCCCCTGCCCACCCCATCCCCCTGCCCGGTGTTAGGTGAGCAAGAAAGGTCTATTGTGTTCGAGCCACGGTATATTTTTGGGTCTATTTATTACAGAACTAGCATTACCCTAATACAATCATCGCTAAATGGCCATAATACATTTATTCTATAATTGCACAGAATTTTATTCACCGAAGGAATGTCCTTTCCTCTCAAGACTCTAAGTGTTCAGAACTGAAACGTTTAGAAGTTAAAGTGGCTGCAAAGGATAAAACCAGTGCGAGGTAGTTGCTAAAGTTGGCGGTAGTGTGGTAGTCAAGAGCTGGCGCTCGGAGGTCGGGTCCCCGGGTCCCCCGCCCGCTGTCCCACCTGCGCGCAGTGCGCTCCGGCTCCCCGTCTGCTCGGTGGGACGCTGGCGGGGCCCGCACCTTGGCTGAGCTCGGCAGACTGTGGCCCACGGGCCAGACCAGCCCAGAGCCCGTTTTCTTTACAGCCCTCGAGCTGAGAAGGTCTTCTACGTTTTCGAAAACAAAGAACACGTGACCTTACGTGGCCCGCAACAATAATCGACCGCCCGGCCCTGCCTTAGAGGGTTGCCGTGAAGAATATAGGTGAGGCCAGTGCTGGCTCAAAGTAAGCTTGCGATACAAAATAACACATGCACAACCATCGACGTCTCCAGAAATAAACGGTCACAGGGCCAGATTCTGCATTTCGTCTGGGTGAACATTCACTCCTTTCCTCCAGAAAACAGACAGAAACACATAAAGAGCTACATCTGGATTATTATGGCCACAGGTTACTTGTCAAATTAAAAAGCTGCTGGTAATCCAGTTTTATGTACTTGGAATATGGAGAAAGGAAAACAAGTTATTTTCCCTTCTAGCGGTAGAAGAGAGCCTAGAACGTGAGCGTTTGACTCCATTTCATGTGTTAAGAAAGAGACATTTTAAAATGAGAACAAGTCCTTAAGTAGGTATTGTAAAATGCAAAACCGATTTAGCAACAGTACGAATGCTGGTTTCGGCGAAAAACAACTCTGCGGTGGAAATTCACTTAGGATGGAGAAGCTACCATGAGATCCAGGTGGAGGCAACGTGAAGCCAGCCTTTCAAAATCGGATTAGACCAAAGTTTTCAAACGAGAGAGAGAGAGAGAGAGAGAGAGAGAGACGCCTGGCCAAACTAGCCTGAGGATACGGTGGACTAGTTTTGGACACACACAGTGTTTCCCAAAGCACGTCTGCAAACCCTGGACCTCGGGGATGCTGTGTGTGTGTGTCCGTCCGTGTGGCAGAGGAAAGTTCTAGGGTCTAAGCAGGGAAGACACAGCACAGTACACTGTCCTCTCATGAAGTCACAACGCACAACAGGACGTTAAAGGTCCGGGACCACCGCGGTGCAGGAAACCGGTGACCGTGTGGCCCGACCGCTGCACTCCGCACGGCACGGCACGCGGGGGCATCACGGACAGTGCGTGCTCTGCAGGGCGTTGTGGACACGTGGAACGTCATGCAGCTGTCACCTCGTTAACAACGCACCGGGCACCTGCCCTTCTCTTTTTGAACAAGTACTCTAACAGCAGCAAAAAGCTGCAATGTTCGCATTGTAACCAGGTGCCCTCAATACTCCTAGCCAGCTTCTAAAATTGCTGTTTGGCAAGGAACCCGCAGAACAAAGTACCCTGTTCACTCACCAACGTTAAGAAAAATTCAGTAGAGCCAAGTTTTGCATGTTTGGATCAGAAGAGAAGCCAGAGACGTTCTGTTGCCGTCAAGGCTGGGCTTTCTGTTCCGAAACGAGACCGGGCAGGCCGCTTGTGTGGATTCTCTGGGTAAGTTCCATTTATTAATCATTGTACAAAAAAATCTTGGCATTCATTTGAAGAGAAAAGAAGTCACTCTATCCAAATAGTTAGTACTTTAACATTGTGAAAGTCCTACTTTGTTATAACAGGACTTCTTAAAATGGAGAAAACTTTTGGAAAAAATTTTAAAAAGAAACTTATGATTTATTAGAGTACAGGAGATCCAAAACACGTTTTTAGAAAAATATAAAGTGCCCAAATACCAACTTACACAGGTGACACAGGCTTCCTGGAGCCAAATGAAGCATTCATGAAGAAACACATTTAAAAACGGTCTAGATACATATTTACATTGGGTCAGTAAAGGTAAAACCATCCTTCTTGGCTTTGATGTTACTCTAAGGAAAAAGGAAATCAAACCAGAAAACCAACAATTATAACTCAGCATGCTCCACAGTTTCTTAGTAATGCATCTGGTTAGTATTACCTCTGGATTAACTAGTTCCCACCTTCAAACGAGAGTAGTGTAAGACCCCCGGCCTCGGCGGGCTGGGTGCTGTGAGTGGTCACATTTCCCAGGCCGATCGAAACCATCAGGCTCTGGATCTGACTGGCGACAGCGAGCTGGGGCTGGCAGGGGCCGCCAGACCCTCGCCTCTTTCTAATCACTGCTCACCAGCCGTCAGTGACTAAGTGGTCTCGGGTGGCCTCCCCAAACCTCGGTCATCCCAGGGCTTCCAAAGCGGGAAATGAGGCAGTCATCAAACAGGGTGTGGGGAACCACATGCAAATGCACAGAAGGGTGGCGAGGCGGGGTCGGATCACAGCCCCCGAAGCCTCGCTCACCAGAGCGACTGGATTCTTTGCAACTCAGAGAGGAACTAACTCCCGAAGGTAGCTTCTACTGGTTAACTACGAATTAGCTAGCTCGCGTGAGAACTGGCAGGCCGAGAGTGGCGGGCGCTCGGGGCTGTGAGGGCCTCGGTGCCCCTGAGCTCAGGGACCAAGGGTGGGGGGCGGGAGCCAGTGGGACCTTCAGGGCAGCGGGGACTCGAGAAAGCAGGGCGCTCCCGCCTCCTTCCCCACGGATCGACACTCCTCAGGTTAAAGACGTTTTACCTGAGTCCACCCTGCCACAGCCGGCAGGGTCGAAGAGTGATTCTAAGGGATGACGGGGGACACGGACCCTCCTCTTTCCTCTTTAAAAAATGCATAAGGTTCATTATTTCTTTTTTTCTGATTACAAAAGTGAAACCTCCTTTAGGTCTTTGGAGACCACGGAGTGTGGTTTCTAAAAATGAACATTCTAACACCAGATTGTACTTCCTACTATAAAGAGAACCCATCACTGACTTAAGATCTATTTATGATACTGGAATAATTTTTAAAATTAAAGGAGAGAAAAAAGTAGTTATTTCAAAGGGAAGGAGAGTAGACGAATGTGGGAAAATCCATCCATAAAGGCCATTACGGTGCACTTTCTCACAAGATTTCACGTAAGGAAACAGAAAACTGGGGATTCGCAGACAGGAGCACGGACCTGGGAGGAACGTGGCGGGCAACGCTCTGCCGTGCTCCCGCTTCAAATAAAGGAAGAGATAAAGCGGCTGAAATCTGTTTCACGTATTGGAACAAATAAAGCCGAACGGTTCTGATGACCAATCCGCGTGTTCGCGTCCCCGCCGCTCGGATGCTGCTACCGTCGCTCGCAGCCTCGCCTCTGAAGAAGCAACTACACGCAGGGCGAAAAGACGAGCGGTCCCGACTCCGGGCCGCGCGCGCTCCACGGCGAAACCAGAAGGGAACCGGTGCAAACATGGAACCCCATCCGTCCGGCAAATGAAACGGTCGGAGACGAGTGTAGACAGACGTAACGGGAAGTGGGCGGGAAGGATGAGTCTACGAGTGTCGACTGTGAGGCCTCATGAAGACAGAGTGTCACAAACTGTCACCACAGGACAAGCACACAAGCCATGCCACTGAACACAGTGCCGTCAAATGAATTCACTAGTGTAGGCGGAGAGCGACATTGTCTTTGCAGCTGGAGGAGAGCACACGTTGTTTAAACTTGGTGGGAGGCAACCAGCGCTACTGGTTAGGTGCTTTCCTGGTGGTGTGAATCCAGAGGGATCCGTGGAGACGTCTTCTTCCGGAATCCTGTTCTCCTGGAGACAGCGGCAGCGGCAAAGGCTCGGTGTCCTCTACTGGACGCTACTCTATGTCCTCCTTCTTCGCACTGTAAATATTCTGCACCGTTTCATACACAGACTCCAGGTCCTCCGGGTACCGGATTTCTAGCTCCGCGTTCGGGATGTAGTGAGTGCCGGTAAACTCTGAGAAATAGCGTCCCACGTCAGGGTGTGAGATTTCTTGAGGCTCCACATTATATTCCAGGTTTTCTGTTGGCAAAGAGGCACAGGGACATTCCTATTAACACGGACACTTCTGTAGCATCTTTTATCCAGAGAGCGTCCTATCTCTCACCCCCTTTCGCGCAGCAGGATTGAGGTGGAGAAGGAGAGGCCTGTTTATGGGATCTGAAGCAGGTAACAGGACCAAGGCAGCGGGGGCGGTGGGGACAGTGGAGGGCTGGAGGAATGGGCCCCTCCGGCTCCGCACTAAACAGAGTGTTTCCTATTCTCTGAGCAAGAAGTCTGCCCCGGCAAACGTCCAGCCTTTCGGGACCGGCAAACTACAGATGCGTCACGGTCCTCTGACTTGATCGTGCAAACAGCCAAGCGTAAGGGACCAGGGCACCCCAGCCTGCCCGATGTCTGCCACAGGTTCACCCTGTGAAGCCCCCACACCACGTGGCTACAAGTCCGGCACCTGCCACCCGTCTCCTCTACTGACCGGAGCTTCCACACAGACCTCACTTCGCGTCGCCCCCCGCCCGGTGCCTTCCGATCCCGGCTGGTGCTTGTGCAGCGAGCCTGCTCTGGGCTGTCAGGAACCCGTGGGAGGAGTCGACGAGCGGCTAGCACCTCCAACCTGTACGGATGTGGGTTATCACTACTTGTGCGGTCTCCTAGGAAACCACACTACCTCCTCTCCCTGCTCGCCATTCTGCCACTAGAGAAACAGAAAGACTCCTTCAAAACAGAACGACGAAAACCACCAGAAGACAACACGTACAAGCTATTTAAAAGGCTGAAATCCTAGGGCCGCCTAGGTGGCTCGGTCGGTTGGGTGCCTGACTCTTGATTTCGGCTCAGCTCGTGATTTCACGGTTTATGAGTTCAAGCCCTGCAGTGGGCTCTGCACTGACAGCACGGAGCCTGAGTGGGATTCCCTCTCCCTCTCCCTCTCCCAATAAATACATTAAAAAATAAAATAAAAAAGGCTGAAATCCTTTCATATCGCTTCTCCCTAAAAAACTTTTGAAAAATGGCTCCCCCGAGGGCCCAATGAAAGGACAGTGTCTTGAGCCCCCCACATCCAGGAGAAGCTGAGCCACGCCCCCCACAGCCCGGCACCAAGAGGAGCTGGGCCAGGCAGATCTTCCCGCTCGTACTGGGGACCAGGGCAGTCTCAGTTCTGATCGACAGCCACACTCTGCACAGCCTATCACTCAAATTAATTCAACTGAGTCTCTGTGCAAGCCTAGCCCAGGGCCTAACACAAACAGTGCAGCCAACTGTCCCTAAAACAGCTTGGTTAAACATCCTGAAATGCAAATTCAGGACATTCAGCGCCCTCCACCCAGAGGCCCTGCATCCCCAGCGTCTCCAGCCTCCACCGGAGCATCATTTGGAAGCGCTGACTTTAACTGATGTTGGGAAGGGGAAGGAATTGCGTGATTCAATCCAGAACTTTTTTTTTTTTTTTTTTTTAACAAAACAGGAAGGGATTTAAAGAAATTTTGGGCTAACAGCGGCTGTGTTTCTTCAGACTGCGTTAGAAGGACATACTCGGGGGCACCAGTCTGAGACTCAGTGCTGCCGAGGAAAACACATACAATCCGTATGCGAGGGTGAACACCGTGAGGTGACCCTAAGCTTGCTTAGTGAGGGCGCGAGAGCGGTCCAATGGTCCACTGCAGCTCACGGTGGCCATCACGGCACATTAATCCTGCACAGGACAGGCAGCCGGGAAACAAGTGACCTGTTTCCCACATCCTGCAACGCAAGGGGGAGGGGAACTCCACACTGCACCGAAGGAGCCCGGAGGCCACACGGCAGGGCCGTTCTGTCCACGGCACACTGTGCATCTCTCTTTTCCACGTGGGCACTCCCAGCCAGGGAGTGTGCCAGGCACTACGACGGCCAGCCAGGCCCCAGCTGACAGTGCGCACGCGTTGTTGCACAAGGGGCCCCTGTCACAACTCCCATCTGCAGCTGAGTACTCCGTGGCACAGACAGCAAGACCTGGCCCCGGACGTATTGGGACTCAAACCCAGACAGTCCAGCTCCAGAGCTGAGGGCGTCAGAGTAGGAGACACACGACGGGGGGTGGGGGTAGGGGGCAGGGGCTCATGGATGGAGAAGCGAGGACTGGCTGGACGGCCCGCTGGGGCCCCAAGAGGGCAGCGCAGGCTCTGGCTGACGGTGCTCTGTGGATGCAGGGGCCCGAGGTTTTCCAGAAGGGAGACTGAGTAGTCTGTGAACACGGATAGCTGCTGTTACACTAGACCTCTACAGAAAACTTTCTTTCTTTAGGTTTTACAGGTTTCTTCTTTCTTGTTAATATTTACTTACTTATATATTTTTATAACTAGGCTCCATGCCCAGGGCACAGCCCGACGAGGGGCTTGAACTTACAACCCTGAGATCAAGATCTGAGCTGAGATCAAGGGTCAGGCGCTTCACCGACTGAGCCACCCAGGTGTCTGGTTTTATAGGTTTCTAGAGCTGCCAACTAGAAAAAACAAGTGTAAAAAAACCCCTCAGATGTTTACAAATGCCACTGGCTGAGAAAATGCCCCTTCCTGCAACTGTGCCTGCCGCCATCTTCCCTGGCCAGGCCTCTGGGTGCAGCCACGGCCAAGGTGTTTTAACCAGGGCAGCTGCCGAGGGGCCTCGTGTTTTCTTGCCGAGGAACGCACAAGTATTAGGGGGAGGGTCTGGACTCTGGGGATACCACCGAGAGGCAAAAAAGCTGTTTTGCTCTGAAAGGACCACAGTCACCTGTCACTGGTAGGCACGATGGAAATATTGAAAATAAAAAGAATTCAAGTGGGTCATTCAGAACAACTGCTCTATTGCCAGTTTGTGGAGAGCGGTGGTTCTCAACTGGGGGCTGTTCTGCCCCTTGCAGGACAATCAACAGGATGTGAGGACGGGTCTGGTTGTCACAAGGGGGGCTGCCACTGGCATCAGGTGGGAGGAGGGCAGGGCCGCCGGTCAACAAACGCACACGACAGTCCCCACCACAAAGGACGGACTGGACCAAAATGGCAACTGCAACTGCCCTGGCAATTCAGGTGTACGTTTTAGCACCGCTTCACCCTTTTTTCCCCTTCCTTTTTCTGGATATTCAGTAGCAGCTCCTAAGGGTTGGGAAGAGGACAGAAAGGTCAAGGCCAGGTTACGGTCATGGATCTGGGAGAAGACGTGACCCCACAGCGGCTGCACAGAATCCTGTGTGTGGGCCCAAAAAGAGGCACGGACAGCACAGACCAGCTGGGAACCACATGGGGGGTCAGCAGCGGTGACCCTCACAGCCCCATGCCCGGCTGGTAAGGAGGGGCGGGGCCCGGATTTTGTGCATTACCTGCCCAGGCTCCTAGCGAAACAGGAGAGAAGGTACTAACACGAAAACGCTTTTGAGGAAAAGTGGGACAAAGTTGAAAAAAATTGACCTGAAGAGTAATGAAAAATCTAAGCAATACTGAAGTAAGTAAAATATCAAACAGGGCCTACCTAAAAGTCCCAGAGAAATTTTTTTGTCAATTTTTTTTAACGTTTATTTATTTTTGAGAGATAGAGCTGCGAATGGGGCAAGGGCAGAGAGAGAGAGAGGGAGACACAGAGTCCGAAGCAGGCTCCAGGCTCCCGGCTGTCAGCATAGAACCATGAACTGTAAGATCGTGACCCGAGCTGAAGTCAGACGCTTAACCAACTGAGGCACCCAGGCGCCCCAAAAGTCCCAGGGAAATCTTAAGAAGTCTTTCCCAATTCCCTTGACGTTTTTCACAGAAATGTCTGCTTATTTCTGAAAGAGAGAGAGAGAGAGAGGGAGGGAGGGAGGGAGGGAGAGAGTGTGTGCACGGGCATGAGAGCAGGAAAGGGGCAGTGAGAGAAGGAGACAGAGGATGTGAAGCAGGCTCCGCTCTGACAGCAGAGAGCCCAATGTGGGGCCCAAACCCACGAACCATGAGATCATGACCCGAGCTGAAGTTGGATGGTTAATTGACTGAGCCACCCAGGTGCCCCGTGTCTGTGTTATCTTATTTTCAGCTACCCAGGGGACACCTGGCCAGCTCAGTTGGTAGAGCATGAGACTCTTCATCTCAGGGTCATGAGTTCAAGTCCCATGTTGGGCATGCAGCCTACTGAAAACAAATTTCAGCCGCCCAGATATGTAAGTACAGTCCTGTAAACCTATGGGACCACCAAGCAGAGTCCTCCCCTCTTGAAGTAGCTAGACATAACTACATAGAAAGAGAACTTGGTATTGTTTGTGTCTATTATGTGAAACATACCGTAAGCATTTATCTGCAACTCGTTTAGTTGCAGCTTCGCATTCCGCAGTCTGACAGACCCCCAGTTCACCTGGCGAGCCTTTGAATGACACTGCTGTCCCATTCCGACAAGAACACAGACACACGTCTGAGTGTGTCTCCAGTGGAAGGAGTGGGGGTGGAACGGCCAGGACACAGGAGAGTGAGCACATCAACCTCTGAAATGGCTGAGAACGTGCACTCCACCTCCCACGGGGGCTCCTCACGCACCTGCCGGCACACGCGGACGGCCACGGACGGCTCGTGGGTGGACACTCCCGCTTGAAAGTGTAAGACAAATTATGGAGACGGGAGCTGACGCTCACTGAGGCACCCCACGTCCCTGGTGTTCCCGGAGGAGCTTTGTCATTCTATACAGAACACACGTCAGAATGGGATTTTCACACTGTGCTGAATTCCTGGCCGTCCGAGGTGGGCAGCTGACTCCCGTTCAGACCATCTGTGATGTTCACTTTCTGCAGTAGCTAAGTATGGGGGAGGTGGGGTGGGAGTGTGGAGGAGAGGGGCGGGGAGCTGGGCACGAGGTGCTGCCCCTCCCCCGGTGTCTGGAAAGTGCTGAAGTGTGCCCCCTAGTGGGAGCAAAAGCGAGCCCCCTAGTGGGAGCAAAAGACACTATACAGCACCCCACTTGGGTTTAGCTGAAATCTCACATATTGAGAGAAAAATTCTCTCAATTATGCAGACTAAAACTATTCGAGGATGTCATGCATGTATGTG